GATTGGTTCTCTGCTTTAAAAGACAATTGATTCCCAGTGAGAATTAAAACTAATAAAGTGGTATTTTTGCTAAGAGAATCTAATAATGCCTTTCCTCCTTCAAAATTAAGATTATTATAGCTAATATCTAAAAAAGTCAGGGTGCTATTTTTACAAAGGGCCTCTGCCATTGCCTTTCCTCCTTCGACGCCAATTCTATTACGATTAAGATTGAAATGAGTTATAGCGTTATTTTTGCAAAGGCCATCTGCGATTGCCTTTCCTCCTTCAATACCAATTCCATTACCATTAAGATTGTAATAAGTTATAGTGTTATTTTTACAAAAAGTCTCTGCTAATGCCTTTCCGCCCTCAGGACCAAGTAGATTATTACCGAGATTTAAATGTGTCAAATTAATATTTTTGCAAAGAGCTTCTGCGAAAAATTTTGCACCTTTAGGACCAAGTTTATTAATATCAAGATCTAAAGAAGTTAAGCCATTATTTACGTAAAGAGCCTCGGCCAATGGTTTTGCACCTTCATGGTCAAGTTCATTGCCACTAATATCTATGGAAGTTAAAGTATTATTTTTGTAAAGAGCCTTTGCTAATTCTTTTACACCTTCAGAACCAAGTTTATTCCAAGCAAGATTCAAAGATTTTAAAGTACAATTATTATAAAGAAACATTGCTAGTGCCTTTCCACCTTCAAAACCAAGTTGATTGTGGGCAAGATTTAGAGATGTCAAATAACAATTATTGCAAAGTATCTTTGCTACCATTTTGCCACATTCAGAACCAAGTCTAGTTCCAGTAAGATTCAAGGAAGTCAGGATGGTTCTTCCGCAAAGCGTTTCTACTAATTTTTTTACGTCTTCATAAATGAGTATGTTATTAGTAATGTCTAAAGAAGTTAAATTCGTATTTGTACAGAGAACTTCCATCAATAATTTTTTCATTCCTTCTGAATCAAAGTTATTGCATTCAAGTTTTAAAGAAGTTAGATTGGTGTTTATATTAAGGATTTTTATCGTCTCGCTATCAACATTTCCATTAATGGTTAAATGTTTTAGTTTATCACATTTTTGTAGAAACATTCTTATCATTGAAAGTTTAACAGTACAAACTAATTCACAAAAGTACGGATCATATGAATATGAATAATCTGAATTATATGGATATGGATTATACGGATCATAAAAAGGACAATAATAAACTGAAGGACCAAGCCATTTTTTGATACTGATCAATAAATTATAAGCATCAATAGAAGTAGCATAAGCTATATATTGAAATAATGGCTTTGAAAGTTTCGGAAGCATTATATTTAATGGAATAAGTCGTTTTTGATCGTCGATGTTTAATGATAAAAAATATATCATTATAATTCTTTCATCTTTGAAATAATCCAGCGGTTTACTCCATAATGTTGGTATAGCAATTCTACACCATTTTCGATTTACAAGAAGACATGAAAACAAGCTTTTATGATGTTTTTTAAGGTCACTGAAGTTACTAAAAATTTCGTAAAGGCATTCATTCGGTAGCAGTTCAATCATTTTGTAAGGAAAAAGTTTATGAAATACATATGTACGTAAGTGGCAAATCCTATTAAATAAGTGTTACAACCTTCCTCACAAACACAATTGTAGTTTAGCTAATTCTATAATTAGTATAGGAAATTCCGAAAATTACACGACATACATTGACTGCCCAATGTGCATAATTCTAGAAACTTTTAAAATGTTATTTAATTTTTGTAATCTAGTCGATTTCGATTGGCTAAGCATGAGTAGTCGTCGCATAATTTTATGTAACCAGTTTTGCGCACTACTGCAGCAAAAACACTAATATAATGGTTTATTAAGTACTTTAAAAAATTGTGCCTCTTCATTAGATATATGAAATCTGATTAATTCTTCAGTGTAGTTAATAAAATTCGCGAGCACATGAATAATATACAATCATATACAAATCAAAACTTAGCATAAAAAAAACCAGTCATGAGATTTATGTGGCGTATAGTAACTCTTAAAGCATCCGATTCTAATTACCTCTACGTACGTATGTACTCGATTTTGTTGGTTGTTTTTGCCTTTTATGGCTCGTAGTACATCGATATTTGTACATCGCTATTTTTAGAGCCTGTTAAATTCATATAATGATCTACATGCTGTATAAATTGCATTCTTGATATCTCTACCCTAACTAAATCAAAAAAGTAACACTGACTGGTACCTGGCTTTAACGTTCCCCGATTTTGTATGTGGGATCGTTAAAACAACTTCCTCATAATTTTATTAAAGGAAGGATCTACCCCCTCTTTTTTTATGGTACTACATGTAGATACGTAAATACAGGGTATTGATCGCTGGGAATCTTTGATACGAAAATTTGCGGCCGTATTTATTGTTTTTGAAAAAAAGAATTGTTGCGTTAATTTGTGAATATGGATTTTTCGATTTTTTACGCCTTTTTTTTTTTTTTTTTTGCTGTGTAGATTAAATGATAATCAGTGATTTTCAAAGGTCGAAATATAAAAATCGTAGCGAAAGAATTTAATTGGTCCTGATTTCAGAATCGTGTTCCAAACTTGTGATTATTAACGTGATATGGGGCATGACTGTTGATGAAGTTTATATCAACAAATCGTTTATGTTGTACATCATGGCTAGCGTTAAGCTTATCGAACGCGTGGCAACCTTGAGTGAGCTTTGTTTTGTGCAGATAGAAAAAAAGTAGATGAATTTAATTAAATTTATGTTGAATAAGTATTAGATTTATTATGGCTTATATTTAACGTAAACACTAAGCCTATTTGTATTTATATGTTTGTTTACATTTATAATAAAAAAGGATCTGACTGGTGCGACAGATTTATTTGTTATGATACTGTAATAAATAAATAGAAAAATAATAATGATTATTACTATCATTATGCAGAAGTTAATAGTATTTAATCGTGTAGTCTGATTTTAATCGAAATGACTTGAGGATCGTAAGACAACTAGAGATGGGAATTGGAAACTAGACTACAATTTAGGTTATGAATGTAAGTTCCAAACTATATCCTCAACTCTAACCTAAACTTGTAGTTTCAGTTTTCGATTTCCGTCTCTAATAGCAACTATTTTTCATTCTTTTGTACACAAGTACATCAATCTGAATAAATACACATGATTCAATGATTGGTCAAAATCATGTTTCCTATTGTTTTTGTTATCATTATGCCTTATTGTTTTGACTAAGCCCTATTAAATCCTTATGCTATATACTGCAACGGTATTTGCAAAGCACATGAAATACGCGTTATTAATTTGTATTAATTTCTTTCAGAACTCACCTTAAATTTTCTCTTTACAGGTTGACTATATAAAAATATGCTGGGTACTATTACTGTACTTTGTTATGTAACTGATTGTCGAATCATATCAGGCAAAAATATTCATGTAGTTGAAGTTTCGGGTTCTATGAAATCCCAAAGTTTAAATTTCATTTTTAAAAATCTTTTTAAAAGGATTTTATCTTCAAAATATAATTCAAGAGTTTAGCCTTCCCCAATTAAAAAATATGATATAATTCTTGTTGTCAGAAAATTTGGTGTAGTTGAGTATATAAATCAAAGGAATAAAAAACTTTCTGCCTTGAAAGTTGTTTCAAATTATATATTTTTTTGTGATATATACTGGGTAAGTCATGGGAAGACTTTTGTATAATCGGTTGTTTAAATCAATTTAGTTTTACATTATTTATATAGTTTGAAGCATTTTTAAAAAAAATAAAATTACGAAGAATAAATGAAAAAGAATATATAGAAAATGTTATTATAGTTGTAGGACTCCACTATTAAAAATAATCAAAATTCTTTTTATTTTATGAAAGTTAGTATTATAATAATCTAATTCTATCTACCTTTAAGAAATTCCTATTATGCTAACTTCTCCAAAACCAGAAATTATTTTAATTATTTTCAATGGTTGAGTCCTACAACTTTAATAAAACTTTCTATATACTTCTTTTTTGTAGTTTTATCATTCTTTAAAGATATCTGAAAGTTATTTTCACTCAATTCGAGAGTTTTTATTTCAAAAAGTCCATTTCTTCATCTCTTTGTAACCTTAGTCTGTAATATTATCATTATGTGAATTCAAAGAACTATTCATATGCTCTTTTCATAATTTCCTTCAAAAGTTTTTATATTTAAAATAATAGCAGCTTATCAAAGTTCTTAATTAAATACTAAGCAACAATTATTGATAGCAATTTATTGAACAAAAAAGTTTTTCATGTAACTTTCATAAACCATATTTTAACACAAAAATAAGAATAGTAACATTTTCCTAATCAATCCATCAAAAAAAAAAGATCCTTTTTAAAAGTACATATTCTTGGAATTACTGTAGTAATCTCTTTACATGTTCTATTTACATTTATAAATTAAAAAAAAAATAGAGAATCTACAAAGTATATAAATAGTGGTTGATGAACTTTTCATTCAAAAGGAGACGTATATACTGTACATACAATGAATAAACAGTGATTCATAACAACCTTTAGTCTCTAAAATTAGTAAAATACCATAATACATTGTTATTTTAACTTTGATTCCACTAATAATAAATATTAAAATATAAATAATACACAATATACTAGTATGCTTATAAGCAAACTTCTTGGATTATTTATTATTTTTACATATTTGGGCTGGAGCGGAGAGGAGTAGTGTGGAAGACCTTTTATGGTGTACTAACTTCAGGTGATGTTCAGCTTCCACCTAGAGATGCAGGCGAATCATCCCAATAATGTCCCAATGATGTTACGGCTTAAGCAGTAACTATCTAAAGCTTATGTCATAACTAGTTACAGCAATCATTGTGACTATTCGCTTGCACCTCTACTCCCACCACGTAATGACGATAAAGAATTTTAATTAATCAAACGTTTAATAATTAACGATAAAGCAAACTATGATAAAAAAGTATAATGATAAATAAACTATATGATTACTGAAGTCTTCTAAAATGCAAAAGCGTAAAGGAATTTATACACTTGAACAAAGGTTACGCTTGAAAAAAAGATTAGCTTCTATTATAATCGAAGAACAATTAAACTATCGAAAAATAATAAAAAAAACAAGATTGGTGCGACCGTGGATGAACGTAATATAAACCTATGTTGCTCCAAAATTAATGTGTATTATATAAAAATTTTATTTTCAAATTTAAGGCTCCAGCCCTATGAAACGTTCCCGTTTTATTACTAGTAAATATAGACGTTAGAAATGGCACTTGCAGTGATTTTTTTTTATACCAGGAACGGAGTTGGTATGACGTACAACGTAGTGTATGGTTTATAGGCAAGTTAATGTGTCTGTGCGATTCTCAGCACATGATTGGGTAATCTGTCATCGTGACTTTGTGTAGCAAATGCTTTAAAAGGTAGGTACCAGGAACAAATGCCTCTGTACGCAAAATCTTGGAGTTGATTGGTCTGCGTGACTTATTCATCATTCAATATTTTTTAAAAAAATATAAATGAGCGCATACATCAGTAAAATCGAAGATGCTATAACAAACGATATTAAAAATAAGCTTTTTAGGCACAAAAATTAGTGTTCCAATATAAATTTAAAGGCCTCAATGCTAAATATTTGGTAATTTTCATTTTTTTTCATCGAATTTTTTATCGGGCAGATAAAATGATAATCACTGATCGCAAGGACTTAATCGAAAGAATTTGTTGATCATTTCTAAATACAGATATGTTTCTTGCAGGGCCCTAGAATTTTAGGTGAAATTCAAACCAATATTCAGATTGCAAGTACTATTAACTTCTTTTATAAAGAGTCATTTTCTTATACCAGGAATGGATTGCAATGAAGAATATGGTTTCCCGTGACTGAAATGGTGTCTGTGTAGATTTCTCCCGTTCCTGGTTTCGCACGACAACGTTGCGCAGCTACTTATTTATTTAAACGTTGCGTACTTTAAAGTGTACAAATAAGCTATCCAAAAAATTAATTTACATCATATGAAAATCCTCCTATAAAAGTACATACGGAACAAACCATTTGTATCACTTTGCTACATAAATCAATTTAACGTTAATACGTACTCAGTATATTACCTTTTTTTTATCTACTCAAAATGATATTCTTACTAAACGAATGCCTTTTTGAAATATTTAATAACCTTAAACATCATTATAGATCCTTGTTTTCATGCCTTCTTGTAAACCGTCAATGGTGTAGAAATGTTGTTCCAATATTATGGAGCGAACCATTGTTATATTGCTATGATAAAAAACTAATAAGAATATACCTTTTATCATTAAATGATTTAGAAAAATTGTCATTAATTCCATTAAATATATTACTTCCGAATGGCCCAAAACCATTATTTGATTACACATCTTTTACTACATCGATCAACAGTTATAATTTAGAAATTGGAGTTGCAAATTTGTTTGGTCATGAAGAATATGACACTTACGACGATTTTAAAGATCAATCAGAGAATATGGTTGTTAAAATGGTTAAAAATTCGATAAATTTAATGTTATTACGAACAAGCAAAAAACTTACACATCTGAGTATAGGTGAACTCAATTGTGGAATTATAAAAATACTAGCCGAAATTCTTTATAAAAACTCTAATATCACTTATTTAAGTCTTTATCAAGATAAGTTTAGTTTTGAAGAAATAGAAGCATTATCAGATGTTCTTTGTACGAATGCCTGCCTAACTTCATTAAGACTTTATGCATGTAAATTTAGTTCTAAAGAAGCAAAATTGTTGGCAGAAGCACTTTGTAAAAATAAAACATTATCTTCTCTTGAAATTTCTAATAATAATCTTGGCGATGAAGGTGTAAAAGCATTTGCAGAAGCTCTTTCCAAAAATGTTAAATTGACTTCATTAGATCTTAGTTATAATCAATTCGGGTTTGAGGGTATGAAAGCACTTGCAAATGCTCTTTATTATAATGTCACTCTAAACTCTTTGACCCTTGATGGTAATAAATTTGATATTAATGAAGGCAAAATATTAGCAGAAATTCTTCTCAGAAACACAACAATAACATCCTTAAGTCTTTATAATAATAGAATTGGTTTTGAAGGAACAAAAGCAATAGCAGAGGCTCTTCAAGTGAATACTACTCTAAATTCTTTGAACATTGGAAGTAATGAAATTAGTTTAGAAAGTGTAAAAGTGATAGCGGATGCCCTTTGTATAAATACCACTTTAACTTGTTTAAGGCTTAGTTCAAACAAACTTGACTTTAAAGAGGACAAGTCATTTGCCGAAGCTCTTTGTAAAAATACTACTCTAAGAGAATTAAGCTTATATAATAATCACATTGGTTCTAAAGGAGCAGAAATGTTAGCAGAAGCTCTTTGCAAAAATGCTAACTTAACTTCTTTGAATCTCAATTGTAATTTAATTACTTTTGATGGTGTAAAAGCTCTATCAGAAGCCCTTCATAAAAATACTACTTTAACCTCCTTAAGTATTAGTAGTAATAATCCTACATTTTTTGGGATAGAGGCAATATCGCATGCTCTTTGCAATAATAACACTTTAACTCATTTGACTCTTTATAACAGTCAACTTAGTTTGGAAGGAATAAAAGTATTAGCAAATGCTCTTTGTAAGAATACTACTTTAGCTAAATTAGACCTTTCTGGCAATCTATTCAGTTTTAAAGAAGGACAGATTTTAGCAGAGGTTATTTGCAAAAACACTTCTTTAACTTCTTTAATTCTTCGTAATAATCGACTTGGTTATAAAGGAGTAGAATCATTAGTAAAAGCACTCTGTATGAACACTACTTTAATTAATTTAATTCTTTATAATAATCAACTTAGTATTGAGGAATGCCGAATATTAACAAAAATTGCTTACAAAAATAGTACCATAATTTCAATACATTTTGAATTTTAAAATTTTAAACCTAATAGTTAATTAGTGATTTATTAATAAAGCATATAATTAATTAAGATAATTATGACCTTAAATTAATGAAAATCAATTATGTTTATTTAATATTACAATAATTAGTATAGTTTTTGATGAATTAATAGCAAATTAATCTAATTTATAACAGTTTAATCTGTACGTTCTGTATAAATTAATTTTAAGTCATAAAATATAAAGCAATTAAGTCAGACATTGCAAAATTCAATTTTGTCCCAATTTCCTCAACGTATTTTCCTCTTAGAATCATTTATAAGTTCTAATCAGCTTTGTCTCGCATTTTTTGGATAAATTATTTTTATGAAAAAAATATACTGGACTTTCTCTTTCACTATAAAGCAAACTACGCAACCTTAACAAGTATCGGCCACTAATACTGTTTTTTTTTTGATTATGTAACGCATAACTATTATTACGAAAAGCCATTATCCTATTGTAACTGTCATCCCAGGCAGACATAATTTAAACAATTCTTATACTCAAAAAGCTGTTCAATTCTTCGATTAATCTCTTACCTTGATTGCGGTTTCGGAAGGCCAATTTAATCAAGAATGGGTAGATATATAATCAGAATGAAAATCAGATGAATTTCTGATGTTTTCTACTTAATCACAGTGCAAGAATCCTTAAACTGTCCTAGCGTTACCAACCTAAAAATTTCGCCAAAGAAATTTCGCTGCTAGATTTTGCTATTAATTTAGGTTAGATAGAGTTTGCTTATATCAAAATTTAGCAAGGAAACATTTTTATTAATGCGCAAAAGGTAGTTTCATGGGTTTGGACGATTTTTTGCATTTTTTCTGAGTAACACCTGATCTTGGAATACTGTATGATTGGCCAGCAAAATTTTAGGCTGGTAACGTTAGGACAGTTGAATCCTTAAACCAACAACTTTTTTATAAGTGGCCAAATTTGAGACAATATACTAATTTTTAATTGGCTAATATTTTAAAATTTTATTATATTTTTATATATATGCGGCCAAATTTTTATACCAAGAACAGAGTGATGTGATCATGTAATATTTCGCATATGGACACAAACTACCCCAAGAACACCTCCAATTTTTCTGCAAATCTCGTGAAGTTACATTGATCGATAAAAAATTTTCTTTTCCCAAATGTAAAGAGATTGTCAAACCAATGTAAAGACATGGTCAAAGTTGATGTGAATAAAAATAATACATTACAAAAATATCCAAGATACTGAAAGTTAATGCCTATAAACAAATTTATTAAACAAAAAATATTCTCAAAAGGTTTCAGGTTAGCAATAATAAAAATTAAAAATAAATATTTACTCAATTATAGGTATTTATTATCTTTATCAAGGATATGCTTTTTATTATTTCATTATAACTTGAAAACAGTTTAGAACATTATTTTAAAGAATAATTGTATGCATCTTTTAGATCCAACTAAAATATATATACATAATTAAATGCATATATATATATATATATATATATTTTAATAAAAAAATATTTAACAGAATTATATTCTGTATAAAATTTAGTTAGAAATTTGGTTAGAAATAAATTTTATTTTATTTACATAAAGTAAAAAGTAAAATAATTGATTTATTTATATTCTGTTTATTTGAAAGCTTTAATATATATTGTTCATTTTATTTATATGCAGTTACATGTTGTACTAATTAATAAATTCTTTGAATATAGTTATATATATATTTTTTTTCTAATATATATTAAAAATCTTAGCTTAACTAATAATACTTTATATTTGTCTATTATTGTAATAAGTTACTTTACAGTTTGTATTATTTTAATTATTTAAATCTGTTATGGATTTTTTATATCTATTCATTTAGCAATAAGTTGTTTTATAATTTGTTACTTATTGATTAAACACAAAAAAAGTATTATAAATAATTTTAGTTAATATATAATATATATAATAAATTTTTACATCAAATAATTCTTTATAAAATTATAAGAACATAATATATTTATTATAGTCTTTTCAGATTTTTGAATTCATTATCATTTATTTGTATTTTTTAATATCTGCCATTATATTACTAATTTCTTCAAAGCTTTTTTCAATAGCTTGTGTCTATCTGATATTATTAATTTTTTATTGTTCTTGTATTATTAATAGTATATATTATAGAATTAACATATTTGTTTTTTATATTAGCATTATAATTGTTATTAGTAGTAAGAAATGTATTACTAGAAAAAAATAAATTAACTTATAATTTTCAAAAAGTTGATTAAACTATTATTATTTATTACTACAATAA